TGTAGAGACAGGGTCTCACCATGTTGCCCAAGCTGGTCTCAAACTCCTGGGCTCAAGCAATCCTTCTGTCTCAGCCTCCCAAAGTGCTGGGATTACAGGTGTGAGCCACCACACCTGACTGTTTCTCTTCTTGTTCCTGTTTTGAAGTGTGCTATCTCTTCCTTCTCTTTGGATTCTTTTGATCCTTATATGACAGCTTCTAATTTTCCTTCTGTCTTCATTCCTCACAAGTACATGTCATACCTCTCCCACCTCACTTTGGCCAAGGCCATGTCTAAGAGGCCTCAATATTACTTTTACTTGAGAACTCCTGAGAACTATGTCTCTTTTAAAAAAAATTTTTTTTGAGACACAGTTTCACTCAGCCTGACGCCCAGGCTGGAGTGCAGTGGTACAATCTTGGCTTACTGCAACCTCTGCCCCCTGGGTTCAAGCAATTCTCCTGTCTCAGCCTCCCAAGTAGCTGGGATTGTGGGTACGTGCCACCATGTCCGGCTAATTTTTATGTTTTTGGCAGAGATGGAGTTTTGTCATGTTGGCCAGGCTGGTCTCAAACTCCTGACCTCAAATGATCTGACCGCCTCAGCCTCCCAAAGTGCTGGGATTACAGTCATGAGCCACCACGCCTTGCCCCAGAGAAGGATCTTAGAATTATTGTGGTGCCTGGGAAACCTCACCCAGGTTCCTCCACAGTTGGAAATTATTAGAAGCCTAGCAGAAACTATAATATTGTCCATGAGGAGAACTTGAGAGCTGTATTATTCTATTCCCCACAGCTTCAAAGATAACTGAACTAGAAAACATCCAGAAGACAAAATTTTTAAGGAGTTGGAGTCACTTTCATATATGAATATTGTAAAAGTTTAGAACTCTTTAGTCAGGAAATACAGCCTAAGCATATACATAATCAGATTCTTCAAAGCATTTAAGAGCATGGATAATGAAGACACAGATTTATTCACCTAACTCAATTTGGATGAACTCCATGAATATTGAGCATTATCTTAGAACAAAAAGAAAATAATTTGTATAACAAGTGATAAACCAACCTGGGTAACATAGCAAGATCTCATCTCTACAAAAGTTTTAAAATCAGTTGTGGCAGCAAATGCCTGTCATTCCATATACTTGGGAGGCTGAGGCAGGAGGATTGCTTGAGCTCAGCAATTCCAGGCTGCAGTGAGCTATGGTTGTACCACTGCACTCCAACCTGTATGACTGAGCAAGACCCTGTCACAAAAAGAAAAAAGGTGATTTATGTGGCATCTGTTATTCTGAAATTGTATAGTTTCAAAGCAGATTTTTTAAAAAGTGGCTTTAATAAATTCATGGATGGTAAAGCTGTAAATTTTAATTAAATCACCTCAGATGCTTCCACAGCTATCGTAACTATCATGGTCTTCCATGCATGTATCTCTTGGTACCACCGTTAAAACAGAGGACTGGACAGAATGTGCTTGGTGATCCAGTGCGCCATGTCTTACATTACATTCCCATGTAACAGACTAAAGCAACCTCTCTCCCCACTGTACCACCTCCCTGCATTGTTGAATCCATGTGTTCCTTTTGTGTCATATCGCTAAATCTTTTATTGAGATAATTTGTGGGTAGACTTTTGTAACTCTCTTTCTGCCATCTCCTATCTTCTAGTCACTTAAGTCTTGGTGCTCATGGTTTCCTGGCAATTTTTCGTGTTTGTGTGCCAGAGCACATTTCTACCTAGAGTCGTTTAGTGAGGTGTTCATGGAATCGTCAAATGCTATCTTCTATTTGTTGTCTTTAGAATGCACTGCTAGGCTACACAGTTCATACCTGTGGGCTGTCCTGTCGCTCTACGACAGTCCTCTTGTATTCTCAGGCATAGCCCTACCTTCCTCCTTCCTCTTGTTTCCTACTTCTGAGTCTTATTCAAGGTGTCCTAAATCCTTGCAGCAACCTCATTTTTATTTACCATACCATTCTCTTTTGCCCCTTAAATTGAGATTTTCAGAATTTGACTGAATATTACAAAATATCAATGCCTGGACTCCATATCCAGAGGTTCTGTTGATCTGAGGTATAAAAAGCTCCACAGGCAATTCTGATGGGCAGCTAGCGTTGAGAACCATTACCTGCAATGGAAGCGTGACTCACTCCTAAAACCTGGCTACTCAAAGTGTGGCCCGTATAACAGCATCACCTGGAAGCTGGTTAGAAATGCAGGCTCTGAACTCCACCCCAGACCTACTGAATCCGAATCTGCACTTTAACAAGATTGCAGGTGATTCATATGTACATTAAAATGTGAGAAACTCTGCTTTGAGACCTTCACTGATTCTCTTCACTTGCTTTCCCACCTGTTGCTATAACCGCAACCTTTTCTTTTACAAATCTATGCTTGTGCTGGCTGTTGAAATTACTGACTCAGCTTTTAGATTTTTAAATTTATTTTATTTTATTTTATATATATTTTTTGTGATGGAGTCTTGCTCTGTGGCGCAGGCTGGAGTGCAGTGGCATGGTCTTGGCTCACAGCAACCTTCTCCTGCATTCAAGCAGTTCTCCTGCCTCAGACTCCCAAATAGCTGGGATTACAGGCACCCACCATTACACCTGGCTAATTTTTGTATTTTTGGTAGAGACAAGATTTCACCATGTTGGCCAGGCTGGTCCCGAACTCCTGCTCTCAGCTGATCCGCCTGTCTCAGCCTCCCAAAGTGCTGGGATTATAGGCATGAGCCACCACACCTGGCCTAGCTTTTAGATTTTTAAATCCAGGGTTTAGATTGTATGTCCTTTGGTACACATTTCAAATTCATGTTGCCGAGACTTATTAAATTCCCACTATGTGTAAAGCCCTGCATTCAGGCAGGTGGCAGGTGCTCATCATGCAACTCTTCTTTGTGAGCACAAGGCTGTGGCTCTCCCTTGCCCTTCACTTGCCTGCCTCCCCAGTATGTGGCTTTGACTGTTTGTTTCCTTTCTGACCCTCAGCAGAGAGCTACTGCACATCGGAGGCTTCAGCAAGAACATTCACTTCCCCTTGGTTCTGACTTCCCGTTAGAGCAAGACAGTTTGTCAAGACAACCTGCGTGTGATAAAGTCTGTCATGGGGAGACTAGGGGAGGTTGCTTGGCAACTGAACTCTCCCCTGAGAGTGGGAAACTTTTTTCCTGGAGGACAGGATATAGAGTTTGTTTAGATCAGACTTTTTTTATGTGTTAGAAGGAGATAGAGGAGCAAGTAGAAACTTTGAACCAACTTGTTTCTAAATCCTGAGCTCTCATCCCCACTTTCCACACGCAGTGCCCTGTTTATTTGTAATCACATTCTGACATCATTTCCTTACCTCCAGAGTTTAGTTTTAAGCTTTCTCAGTGCACAGGCCCCACTTTGTTGTTTAGTTTTCTCTGTGGTGGCTGGACTGGGCCCAGTGGAAAGAGTGGGTGGGTGCTGAGAGGATTGCTGACCCTCCTTTGAGGCCCTTGACCTCTTTCTGGCAGAATGGTGCTTATGATTGCTTTTCCCAGTTGTACGTGATCCCGAGATGATTTATGTGTAAACCCTAGAATCTTCTTAATTTTCAGGAGTGATTATGATTGGGAAAAAGAAGCATATTGAGCTAGTTTTAAACATAAATATATAAGCTGGGCATGGTAGCATGCACTTACAGTCCCAGCTAAGGTGGAAGGATCCCTTCAGCCCAGGAATTTGAGTCCAGCCTGGGCAATATAGCAAGACTCTGTATCAGTTAACCAAACAATAAGATAAATACATAAATAGCAACAAGAATTGCCATTCTGACTCCCTCCTCTGCAGAGATAATTTTCTGCTACTCTTCCTAAACTCTCTGGAGAATTTTATGAGAGGGTATTTACAGCTCTCTTTTCTGTTTTGCAGATTATTACAGGAATGCCTGTTATTCTTCCATGTCTGGATTATCGCCTGTTAAACTGGGTACTAGGTCTCAGTACTCATATATCATTGAAGCTGTAAAACTACATTGAACAAATAGTGATTTGCTGAGACAAATAGAGGAGTGACATTTAGGGGAAAGCTGGGTAGCTCATGTATTAAAAGCATGAAGGTGGCTGAGTGTGCAGGGAGTTCTTAGGGTGAGACAGCCTTGATAGGCCTGACTGTAAAGATTTAGCTTGGTCTTTTTCCTCTTCCTTTACAGAACAGTTCCTCCCCCCACTCTGGGATGTCCAGACAGGTGCGGATCAAGTCTTCCCAGTCCGCAGGGGATATAAATACTATCTACCAGCCCCCTGAGCCCAGAAGCAGGCACCTCTCCGTCAGTGAGTATTTCACCCCTTTTTTCTCCCTCTCTCTTTTATCTACCCACATTTTTAAAAAAGCAACAAATATTTGTTAAATAATCATCAAATATTTATTGACTATTACTCTGTTTAGAGTAGTCCTCTATGCTTTTATTTTATTTAGAGAGGAAGGGCAAAGAAATAACTGGGATGGTGTCCTGACTCTCAAGGAACTTAAAATACAATGATGTAGTAGTGTGATTAAATTCCTTTTAAACATCCCTGAAAAAGTGATCACCTCAAACATCTGCTTGAAGACTTCCAGCTGTGTACTTTTGACCCTTCTTGTGAAGAATGGAGACTTACAAAGTTCGGAATTAGGTCTAAGTTTGAATTTTAACCTTAAACCTCTTGCTTATGATTCCTGAGAAGACTTTATACTTCAGGGAAGATGCTGACCCATGAAACTCTTGAGAGAGTCAACCTAAGTTGCCTGAGAAGGAAAGATGACTGTTGACATAGTACAGTCATTTCTCTATATTTGCAGGGGACTGGTTCCAGGACCCCTGTGGATTCCAAGATCTGTGGATGCTCAAGTCCCTGAAATAAAATAGCGTAGTATTTCCATATAACCTGCCCACATCCTCCCTTATAGTTTAAATCATCTCTGGGTTATTTATAATACCTAATATGATATAAATGCTATATAAATAGTTCTTATGCTATATTTTTATTTGTATTTTTTTTTGCTATTACTGTTTTTTATAATATTTTCCCACATATTCTCAAACTCTGGTTGGTTGAATCCACAGATGCAGAACCTGCAGATATGGAGGGCCGACTGTATATACAATCTGCTAACTAGACAGAAAGCTCTGTGGCTGCTACCAGTCCTCCCCAGGACAGTATTCTCAATGAGGACTGTGCACTATTACTAGTTAACTCAAGATTCCTGTGGATCCCACTTTTGAGAGTCTGGGGAGAAAGCCCATTTCTTGAATGTTGAACTTGTATCAAAAGGAAAATCTGGCCTTATCAACCATCGTGTTGAGCCTGCTGCCTTAATGTTGTGGAGACCCCTGCTGCTGCTAGAAAGCCAGCTTTGCCCTTATCCGTATAGGTAGAATTGCATCAAATTGAACTGTCCTCTGAAGATCCTGAGCTAAGCTTGAGAGATCTAAGCACTGATCCTATTGCTGAGTTTGTCTGTCTACAATATGCCTCCTGAGGGAGTTGCAGGAAAAATATGTTATGGGGGCACTGACTTTGCCTTACTGAGTAACTTCTGGAACCCCAGCAAGTACTGGTAGTAAGTATTGCCAGGCTGAAAGTCTGTATATGAATTTCATATTTCTGTAGATAATTGGGGGATGTGTTGGTTGAAGAGGGAGAACGAGTACCCTAGCAAGGAGAGCCTAGCCAGAGCGTCTCTGGCCCTGGAATCTGGGTGCCTCAGAGCCTGGAAGCTCTGCCAGTTTGGCCTCTTTTCCGGAGTCCTTATAGGGATTGAGGAGGTGGGCAGCATGGTTCCTTGTAATCAATAAGAATTGATGGGGCAGTAACTGAGTCTCCTGCCCTCAAGCAAGAGCCTGTGATATGTGCATGGAGGCAGGGGCTAAATGTTCAGTCACTGGACCCTTTTTCCATGTTATTGGGAGCCATATTATGGAAATTATTTCCCTGGCTGAGAATGCTAAGAATGAAATTTCTGTGAAATAGTTCCTGTTTCTCTGGAAAATGGGCAACACAGCCTCTTAGCATACCTAGATCCTGGCTTCCTTCATTCAGCAAGCATTAAGTACCAGCCATTGGGCTGAGATGAATGCTGCAATGAAGCACGTAGAAGAAGGGTTGGCTGGAGCAGAGAGGAGGCAATAGCCAGTTCCGCCTGGAAGAGAAGGGCTTTCACAGAAAAGGCAACATCAGAGCCTACACTCCAAGAAGATTTTCTCAGCATCATGTAGGGATCGACATCTCAGGCATAGTAAGGAACACCTGCCAGGCATGATCACAAAAGAACTTGGTGGTTTCCAAGAACCCCAGGGACTTTGGAGTGTGTATGGGTGAGGTAGATGTGGCAAGAGAATGAGCTGGGCCTGTGAGCCTTTCCACAGAGCCAAGAAATGGGAGAGATGATTTCTAACTGGAATGATCTGGAAAATGCATTCTGAGGGGAGCTGTTCCAGCTGGACCTTGAAAAATTATGGAGGATTTCCATAGGGGACAAGGGGAGAAAGGGCTTTTAGACTGTGTCTTTGGGGAACTCACTAATCCTTCAGATCCAGACTGGCTGATATATTTGGAGGAGGAATAAAGAAGGCCGAGAAAGGATGCCTGGGTAAAACTAAGGGACTCTCAACTGCACTCAGGCTTTTTTGGTAGGCAATGGGAAACCACTGAAAATGTTTGC